AAGCACATTACAATGTATTTTCCTTTTCCCTCACATGTATTCTTTGGAATTCAGATTGCTATGGACCGGGATGGGGTGTAAGTGGATGTGGGAGGGTGCCACAGGGTGGTTCCCTTGTCCAGGGCAATGCAGCCAGAGTCTCCAGCAATGCCCCTTTACTGAGTCAATGTGGCCTAGTGGCCAAATCAGTAGTCCAGGGGTCGTGTCCCTCTTGGGGGATAATTAGGTGGGGTAGGGGGGCCCAGGCCCTCCCTCTCCTTCGGGTCCTAGCCCAGGGCCTTGTCAGTGGTGAGCGTGTCCCACCACTAGCTCAACAGGGAGTCCACCCAAAACACACTAAGCTCTCGGGGATTCCAGTTCCCCGCCCTGGGCTACTTTCTATCCTTTCCAGGATTGCCAGTGTCTTCCCCACCTGTGTCCCCCAAGCCAGGCCCTTCAGTGGCTGCTCTCTGCTGGCTGGCCTCTCCTGGCGGGCAGCCTCTCTGGCTGGTCCCTGCTGGCTGGCCTCCTGGTCTGTCCCCTCAGGTGGTTCCCCTGAAGGAGCTCGGTCAGTATGTCCTTCCTCCTCAGCAGCCAGCCCAGACTGAGCCTCCCTCCAGGCTTTTATACCTGGGCTGTAGTCTGAGCATGCCCAGCAGGGCTGCGGGGGAAGGGTTTCTTCAGCCAGGTGAATAGGGTTGCCAGGTGTCCAGTATTGACCCAGACAGTCTGGCATTTTTGCTTCCTGTCCAATAAAAAAATTCAAAAAATACCAGATACCTAAAATGTCCGGTATTTTCTGTTTTTTTCCCCTGACAGGAGGCGAAAATACCAGACACCTGGCAACCCTACGGACACACTCAGCAACTGGGCCCAGCAACCCCGCCAGGTCCGCCGGGCTCCCGCATTGGAGGCTCACCCCCTCCGCTTACCTGGTTCCGCAGGGGCTTGTCTTGTGGCTGGAACAGAAAAACAAGATGGCCGCCTCCTTTTAAAGGGGCCGTGCTGATTTTTTTATTTTTCCACTTTGTTCTCCCCCTTTTTTTTTCCTCAACAGAATTTTTTTCCCATTTTTTTGGGGGGGGGAGGGGAGGGTGTTCGGTATTTTTGGTTAAACTATCTGCCAGCCCTACAGGTGAGCCTGGTTAGGCTCAGCTTTCCCAGTGCGGGGCTGGTCCACCCCGTCACAGAGGGACAGAAATAGGTTTGCAGTGTGATGGCACCAGACAGTTACACTAGTCACATTCATGTGCTCCGAATCATGGAGCCCAATTCCAGACCTGAAAAGGTTTCACATTTGTCATATGCAAGAAAGAGGCTCCGTGGTCAATAAATGTTATTGCGTCCTTGACGTGAAAGTGGCAAATGGAACATGAACTTGAAAACTTAAGGAGGAACTGTAAATCAAGAGACAATGGGTTTGCTCTGAACAAAGATCGCTTTCTCTGAAGCCATCCCTTTGCCTTCCTTTCCTCCTCCACCAGACAGAAGAGAGGGGAATAGGGGTGGAAAATTGTTCAGTGGAGAGCTGGAGACATCTCCTGTGTAGAGTTTGGGGGGCTGGACACTTATTTGGCTTCAGGGATTGTCGTGTGTGGAGGGACCATGTGATCCCTTCCCAATGCCCTGGGTGGAAGGGGCAAGGGGCCAGGCCTCTGGGTGGACTGGGAGACTAGCAGGGGGGAGAGAGAGGAGAAAGGGGGCAGCCTGGTGCCTAAAGCAGGGGTTGCCCCCCCCACAATCACTGGCACTGGTGTGGGGGGGAGGCAATGTGGCTGTGTCACACAGGGGAGGGGTGGGACTGCTCCCTGCACTCACTGGCTCACAACTAGGAGGAGTGGGCTGGGGCTGTGTTGCTTGATCTCCCTCCCTGCTGGCCCCCCCACTAGACCCTCAGGCCGCAATGTGGGGGCTTGGAGGAAGAGGCAGGGCGGGGTGGAGCAGGTGTGGGGTGGAGTCAGGGTGTGAAGAGGCGGGGTGGGGTCTAGGGCAGAGGGGGTGTTGTCCTGGCCCTTCCCTAGTGGTGGGGGGAGGAGTCACGTGGGGGGTAGTTATGTGGCTGGAGCCCCCCCCCATGTCCTTCCTCACCAGTCGCCTTGCTCAGGTGCTTCATTCCCTTCCTGTATGCTCAAAGGAGCCCTGTGTGAGCGGTTTTGGTTGCCAGTGTAGGGAGCTGCCCTGGCAGGCCCTCTCCTGGACCCGGGGCCATTATATCTTCCAGCTCAGCAGCAACCTGGGTGCAGCTGGAGGAGGAAGAGCAGGAGGAGGAGGAGGTGATGGTGCCTCTTCCCAGACTGGGGCAATGTCTACGGCAGCAGACTCCGCATTCATTTAGCCCTGAGCTGTACCGGTATCTCCCTCGGGCAAGCTCCCCTTCCTGGGGTGTGCATTCAGGAACCAGTTTATCAGCGTCTGCATCGGCTGCAGAGCTTACTGACGGGGGAGGGAGACACAAGGGGGGTAGTTGCTCCTGGGGCCCAGTGATTCAATTGCTCTGGTCTGCACCACTAATGCCCACCCTTGCCTTCAGCTTTGCCTGATGTGGGGGGTGGGTGGAAGGACAGGCTTCGCGGGCTGCTGTTTGCCCCCTGCCTGGGCTGGAGCAGCAGCTGCAAATGCCGGGAAATCCATCTGTACTTTGCCTCACCTGCAAACACCACCACGACTGCTCCCATTGGCTGGGAAGTAACCATTCGGAATGGGCGAGATAATCAAACTATAATAACTATTATTATGCCATTCTGTAAATCCATGATACGTCCACACTTTGAATACTGCTTCAGGCTCTGGTTGCCGCATCTCAAAAATCATATATCAGAACTGGACAAAGTACAGAGAAGGGCAACCGAAATGATTGGGGTGTGGCACAAGTTTCATAGGAGAAAAGGTTTGAAAGACGGAGACTATTAAGAGGGGATATGATTGTGGTCTATGAAATCAGGAATGGGCTAGAGAAATTGAGTACAAATGTGTTATTTACCCTGTCGCATAACACAAGAACCAGGGCTCTCCATGAAATTGATGAGCAGAAGGTTTAAAACACATTATTTCTTCACACAACTTGTGGAACTCATTGCCAGGGGATGCTGTGGAGGCCAAAAATATAAATGAGTTCAAAAAAGAATTAGAGAAGTTCATGGTAGATACGACCACTAATGGCTATTAGCCAAGATAGTCCGGGCTGCAACACCCTAAATCTCTGAGTGCCAAAAGCTGGGACTGGGTGGCAGAAGATGTATCACTCAGTAATTGTCCTGTTCATTCCTTCACATGCATCTGGCACTAACAGGATATTAGCCTAGATTTGGTCTGACCCGGCCTGTTCATTTTTACATCCTTATAACATTTATCTGATAATAGTATACAGATGCCCATCAGTCTCAGGACTCCATTAAAACAGGTATCGTTCAAACACTTTGGCTGCGTCTAGACTGGCATGATTTTGCGGGAATACTTTTAATGGAAAAGTTTTGCCATTAAAAGCTTTTCCGCAAAAGAGCATCTAGATTGGCACGGAGGCTTTTGTGCAAAAACTGCCCAGCTGTCTACACTGGCCACTTGAATTTGTGCAAGAGCACTGACATTCTAATGTAAGAATTCAGTGCTTCTTGCGCAAATACTTTGACGCTCCCGCTCAGGGATAAGCCCTCTTGCACAAGAATACTTGCGCAAGAGGGCCAGTGTAGACAGCTGGCAAGGTTTTGCACAAAAGCGGCCGCTTTTGCACAAAATCTTGCCAGTCTAGACACATCCCTTGAGAATGAGCTCACTTGTCTCACAACACAAAGAGGTGTACATAGGGGTGGGAAAGCAGTGGGAAAGCAGATACACTTTTCAATAGCTGTATATCTATATCCATATCTATCTACCTACCCACCTGCCTGCCTTTTGGGGTGTTATTTTAAAAGAATGAGTGAAGTACCTCCAAATGTCACCAGATATAGCCAACAACAGCTGGATCATTACTTATGGGCACCACAGCAGATGTGGTTGTCAAGGAGGAGATTTAAGGCCAGAAGCTTAAAAAACAGGGTTTCACATGAATTGGGCAGCATGGAAGAAGATAAAGAGAAATTGGTGGGAGACGTTGGCAAATGCTTGGCATCCTTGGTGGAGTAGGGTCTGGTTGCACAAATGGAGAAGAGAAAACGGTTAAGGAGGTAGCTCATAGGGTATGTCTAGACTACATCCCACTGGCGACAGAGGGATGTAAATTAGACATACCAAAATTGCTAATGAAGCAGGGATTTAAATATCCCACGCTTCATTAGAATAAAAATGGCTTCTGCTTTTTGCCGACGTGGCAATTTGCTGGCAAAACATGGCAGTCTAGACAAGGAAAGCCTTTTCCGACCGATCCTGTAAACCTCATTGATATTTAAATCCCCGTTTCATTAGCAATTTCAGTATGTCTAATTAACATCCCTCTGGTGCCAGAGGGATGTAGTCTAGACATAACCATAGTGAGGGCTCTTGAAGGCAGCTATACAACAACTTCCAGTGGGAGTGGGAGAATAACAGAAGCTTAATTGTATCTGAGGAAAACAGAACAGGTCTTGGCTTTCCCATAAAATTGTTGCAAAACATACAAGAAATCGATCAGACTGCAAGCTGCCCAGACTGGGAGTGTGAAGAGAGGAGCAGAAATGCAAGATCCATGACATGATGTCCTGACACATCCTACTACTTCAATATGAGAGAGAAGAGAAATCTCAGGTCTCTTGTTAGAACTAATGTATCTTGTCACAAAGCCCATAATGATGAGCAGGGTATGAAAACACACAGATAGAGTGTGTTGCCATTGTATTCACAAATATGAAACAGTCGTTTATGCAAGCCTCCCCCTTTGTTAATTATTACTTCCTGTGCAGTCAGATCTTCATGTACCTGTGAGTATTTCCAGGAGTAGGAGGATGGGGTGTGGAGGGATTTTTTAACAACACAACTGGAGATTTTAGATGTGGTGACACAGCTGCAAAAGAACAGTCGGTTCCTAGTTCCGTTCTTCCCAGCACCGTGAAATGGAATTTGCATTAGGAATTTGTATCGTTGCTTTTCTCTCATTGGTGGCATTGGCATTTTACTATGAACATCCAAAAGCTGAAATCCCTCAAGGAGTGGATCAGCCCATAAAGCTGTACATTGTTCATTACATCGTGAACTTGGTATTTGGTCTGGTGAGTGAACTTTGTTTGAAAATCAGGTTTGAGTTGGGTTTCCAGAGACAGAGGTGAATTTTGTAAGAGTCAATGTTTAAATATATTATAAAGAGCTAGCACAAGTGTCCTTGTCAACGGGATTAGTTCTTGGTGGTACAGAGAAGAAAGCACCATGCAACATCACTCCTGGACAGTTGCAAGGGAGAATGAGTTAATAGGTGTTTAGGCAAAAGCCTTTCTAAAATAGCATAAAGAGAAATAAACTCTATGCTAAGTAGAAGCGCTGGGTAGTGCTGTGAAACGTGTTGCTTATGTAAATACAGTGGAAAAAGTTCAAGGAGGGGAGGCTTAAGCTGCAGTTCTTAAGTTTGGAAGGAAGGTGTGTGTGTAAGAGAGAGAGAGAGAGAGAGAGAAGTATTAAAATGAGGCATGATTGAAATTTACATCAGCTTAGCATCTCGGCATGGTCTGAATCCTGCTACTATGAGCGTTCTCCTGAAAAGCTGTAGGGAGTTTCTGGCTATGACCATAGGTGCGGGAACTAGAAGTATGTGTGGTACTGCAGCACTCCCAGGATCCTGGCCTAGTACCCAGGGTCCTGGTTGCCTTCCTCCATGCTGGAGGCTCTGCTACCAGCCCTCGCCTGGGGACCCAGCTGCTGCCCTGCACTCCAGGGGTTCTGCTGCCACCCTGAGCCTGGGTATCCAGTTGGGGCTCTGCTGCTGGCTCTGGGCCTGGGGTCCTAGCTGCCAGCCCTGGGCACCGGGGTATAGGGGGGAGCTCTGCTGCCAGCCCTGTGCCTCTGGTCCCAGCTGGCTCCCCACACTAGGGCTGGTGGGGGCAGGGACAGGGGTATGTCAGCACCCCCGCTCTTAAAAATATTCCCATGCCACTGGCTGTGACTCCACAGTTGGGCTTATGTTGGGTTTTTGAAGCTGGGATTCAAACACCTCTTTTGGGGTGAGAGCGTGTGAAAAATACAGGGGATCTGTGCCAGATTCACAGCCCGTAATCTGAGTCAGCATTGAGTTTTCTGAGGGGAGGAATCCTTAATTAGTTCATAACCCCAGGGTAAATCGACACTTCAAGCTGGGGAGCCGGATTCCCAGCGGAGGAGACAAGATGCGCTCTAGATCTCTAGCGAGTATGCTACAGAGAGAACAGAGAGGCACAGGCACCAGCTACAAGATGGGTACCTACCTTTGGCCCATTCTTGGGCTGGCTAGCCTAGCCTCTGTAGTTTTAGTGCATTTGCTCTAGGAGAGCTAGCAAGAGGACGTCTCCAGGTTCTGGGAATCACACGGTTAGCCTGAAGTGCAGACGGGCCCTAAAATTAATTTTTAACAGTCTGTTTAAGAAATTTGTCTTGGGGAGCCTCACCTTTTTCTGACCCTTTCTAAGCTAAGGGACACAGCTCTCAAAAGCACCAGACTTCGCTCGTTCCCATCTCTCAGACTAGCCACTTTCTAATTTTGAAAATATTCTTTAAAATATTCCCTGTATTGTTCCCCCTGTTGCAGTTGGTCCGGGTGCAGCAGGGTCACATGGGATGGGAAGCATGTGGTTCCAGTGATGGATGGAAACATCAGATTAATGTTTGGGAACCATTAGTCTGGAGAAAAAACACGAGCTCAACAGGGCTAAGAGTTTGCACGGGCTTCCCCTGCCATGAGCAACTTCTGCTCAGCCTTTTCCTCAGCCCTGCCCCTCTTCCAGGTCTCCTTACAGCTGCATAACTCCCACCACAGTCCCTCTACAGCCATGTGCTGCCCAGGCAACAACTGGATACCCCTGGTAAGAAGAGGGATGCGGATCAGTGGAGGGGAATGTATGGAGTGGGGGAGGGGGACTCTGGGTCTGTAACTCAGTGAGAAGGATCCTTAGCCATGCCAGGACAGCTCTGCCCCCTCCCTCAACACAATTAGATGGTCTACATGCACACACCTCTCCTTTCTTAATCCTTTTCTAGGCCGCTGCCCGTAGCACCATCCAACTTCTACTCCCCTATCTACCACTATCCCCGAAACTCTGAGTCCTACCTACTCCCCCCAATATGCAAGCATGGCATCAACAGCTTGACATTTCAAAAACCTAGGAAATTTGTACACAACCTCTTTTGTGTGTGTGAAAGAGCAGAGGTTGCCACCCACACATGCCTTAACAAAGACCCAAACCACACAAGCAATGGGAGAGGTCTAGGTTGGATATTAGGAAAAACTATTTCACTAGGAGAATGGTGACGCACCTAGGGAGGTGGTGAAATTTCTATTCTTAGAGGTTTTTAAGGCAAGGCTTGACAAAGTTCAGCTGGGATGATTTAGTTGGGGTTGGTCTTGCTTTGAGCAGGGAATTGGACGAGTGGGGTTGGTCCTGCTTTGAGCAGGGGATTGGACGAGATGACCTCCTGAAGTCTCTTTCAATTCTAATCTATGGTTCTACAAAAAGCAAGGAAATAAAAAGTTAAATGACCTAAGAGTACATATTCTCTATCTTTCACCCACAGATATACATCTTACCTAGAGCTACTGTACACCACAAACTACAAAGCTCAACCATAAACAATGTTCTCTCTAATTATTTTCCACGCATGTGTGGAATAAATATTGTTACGTGCACCAAGGCATGTGCAGATGTACCCTACCAATAGAAACACATGCTGCCGATTGTGGGCACTCTTCCAATCAGTGGGAGGAATTTGAATGTCTCCTGGGCAGCTGCCCAAGTGCTCAGCTTACAGGGTACACTGACCCTAACACTTAGGGACATCTAGGGGGTGGGACAGCGGCCCTGCGCGGCCCTACGGAGGGGTCACCTCGGCACCCTGCCTCACCACACCATGTAACTGTTAAAAATCCTAGCGGTTACACAGGCTGCAAGCTCTGCAGGATAAAGTTGGCTCCGGGCTGCCAGCCTCACTTCCAGGGAGCTGATTTCACTGCGGGCTCTGCAGTATCACTTTATACTGATGCTTATTGGTGAACCGTTTAAACGGTTACCTGTTTACATCCTTAATGACACCTTCAATACTGCTTGCTGCCAGGGGGATCTGTTTTTCATTGTTTTTCAGCTTGAGCATCTACTGTCGATTGCATGCTACACCATTTGTGTTGATTGTGGGAGGAATCCTTGAGCAAGACAAATGTGTGAAATGAAGTCACAGTTGACTTGTTACTCCACTTAATAATGCTACCTTGCTAATCTTAGGAAATCTGAGAATACACCTCCCATTGACATACATATTGGCAACAATGAGATTGCTGCTCTGAGCATATTGCACGTGTTTTTTGAAAAGGTGTTGCACAGATGAGACATTCAAAACTATGCCAAGCTCATGAGTTACTAATTTAGGAATATATTGATGAAGACAGGCCGTTTGCAAACAGTTATCAATATTTTAGATCATGCTTTGAGAATTGATTATAGCTTTTCTCTGGAATCTCTGTGTTACACTGATTGCAACATTTCAGACTCAGAGGCTGGCATCCTTGTGGGTTACAGCTAAGTATGGTAGTGACAAATTATATATTAGCAAGCGGAGAAGTAGATGGAACAAATTGGAAGGTAGCTCTGTGTTTTACTTCTTTGCTATTGTTGTTTTGTTAGGAGATGTGAATTGTGCAGGTGGGGAGTTAATTTAAAGCACACTGTCTATTTACGTATACAAATACCTTCATAAGCGGCGAGGAGTCCTGTGGCACCTTATAGACTAACTGAAGTGTAGGAGCATAAGCTTTCGTGGGCAAAGACCCACTTCGTCAGATGCATCTACTTACCCCCACAAAAAATCTCATGACCGCAGAAAGAGCACACCCCCCAAAACTCAGAGAGGAGTAAGGAAGGGTGTTTAATAATCTCAAAGATTGTCATCAGTTGCATTGCCAGCAAAAATCCCAGCAGCACCACCTTGTGCTCCTACACTTCAGTTAGTCTATAAGGTGCCACAGGACTCCTCGCCGCTTTTGCAGATTCAGAGTAACACGGCTACCCCTCTGATACTAAATACCTTCATGAGCTTGTTGGTTTAATAAAGTTGTTGTTAAAGGGTATGTCTAGACTACATGGCTCCATTGATGGAGCCATGTAATCTAGTTTACCCGGCATAGGCAAAGAAGCGGGGATTTAAATAATCCCCACTTCATTAAAATAAACATGGCCACCACGCTGTGCCGATGATCAGCTGATCCGACACAGCACGGTAGTCTAGATGCGGATCTGTCAGCTTGGGAATGGTTTCATGAGGCATAAGGGATCGGTCGGCAAAGGCTTCCCCAGCCGACAGATCGGTGTCTAGACTGCCACGCTGTGCCGGATCAGCTGATCTTTGGCACAGCATGGCGGCCATGTTTATTTTAACAAAGCGGGGATTATTTAAATGCCCGCTTCTTTACCTATGCTGGGTAAACTGGTTGACATGGCTCCGTCGACGGAGCCACGTAGTCTAGACATACCCAAAGCGTAAAAGGCTTTCTGACTACAGCCCTTAACACACTGTTAGAAGTAAATCAGGTTTGTTTCCCCTTCTTCCAATACTGATGTCCCTCTTCTAATGCCAGAGTCACTTCATTGCCAAGCAGTTGCAGATTGTACTGTGTGACTCGACCAGGGGACTGAGTCAGCAAAGAGCAACCACAAATAGGAGCGGCGAGTAGCAGACACATGCACTGAGCCAGGGGATGCTTATGAGTGGTGAATGTGACTCCATTACAGGCTGCGTTATAGTGGGTCAGCGTTTACAGTGACAAAATTGACAAAAAGGTGACACTGGGTTATCTACTTACCCCCACAAAAAATCTGATGACCGCAGAAAGAGCACCCCCCCCAAAACTCAGAGAGGAGTAAGGAAGGGTGTTTAATAATCTCAAAGATTGTCACCAGTTGCATTGCCAGCAAAAATCCCAGCAGCACCACCTTGAGTAGGAGCAGATTAGGACAATCAGGCTAGATGGGGGTCAAATACACCCAGGATGCAAAGAGTTAGACCAGTCCAGAACCACAGGTATTACTTGCTACCTGTGCAACCTGCTGGGTTAATCAAGCATCATTGAGAACCAGAACAAGATCTGGGCCAGGAAAAACACTCACTTGTGAGGTAGGCATCTGGGGCCCTGCAGAGCAATGTGAGGTAGGGTTTTTTCTAATGTATGTAGAAATTTGAGCTGTGATTAGCCTTGATGAGCCTGAAGTTATCTAACACAACATTAGAAAACTCCCCTCTTGTCTCGATCATATTGTAGCTCCTATGGTTTTCACAAGGCATGACTGCAGCTAGTTCTAAACTGGCTATCTTGGGTTCCTGAACAGTCATGACTCAACTTTGCTGTTGGTAACAAACTCAAAGCCAGTAATCAAAAAGTTGCAATGAACTCAAGGATAATTGATAGCAAATACAAAACAAGTTGGTCATCTGAATCTACTTCAGAATGAAGAAGTGACCAGGTTGGCCTTACAATGGGCTCTTTAGATCGCCACCCCACCGGCACTGAAGTTTGAATTAGTTATGCAGGCAATTTCCCATTCATCCTCCAGGGTAGAGTTGAGGCACACTGACAGGAAACGGTACACTAATTTTTGGTCTCTTCCTTACTATAAACAGGGAAGGATTTTTGAGAAACTGGGCATCTGCAAGGAGGTTTACCTCATCAGGACCTTCTTGTATGGAATACTGCCATGGAAGAATACTAAGCTCTTCATCAAGGACTTGGAGTTTGCCAATGTGTCAGTAAGGGTTTACCAGCCAAAAATGCCATCTGCTGGCTTAAGGACAGGAGTCCTTTACTTACACGGAGGCATTGGCCAGATTGGAAGCATTAGTAAGAAATTTAAAGAAACTAAGACATATGATAAATATGAAGCATTATCTAGTTCTTTCTATTATGATATTTCTTAAATGATTAAGAACTACTGCCACTATTTATTTAAAAACGACTAAACTTAAATGTTGCATATTTTTAATTTGGCTAGCTGGTATTTTGCTGCTAAGTCTTTCCTTCTGTGGAAATTTGTACTTATCCTTGGATTTCTGTTCTCTGACCATACACAAATTTTCCCTTTAATTGGTGATACTGGACACAGGAAAATTGGAGGCTTGGTGAATTTAATGAATAGTTTCTGCCAAAAAGGTGGGTTTTTAAGTCAACTTTTGTTCCAATGGTTTATAAACGAATTGTTTAGACCTTTGGTTTTGAAACAGTTTTGATTAGAAATTTAGCTATATTTAAATAATACAAAAAGGATAAAGATACCCAAAAGCTAAACAAAGCCCCCTAATCATTAAAAAAACAAAACCAATATTTTTTGGCTTTTTCAGTTCAGCCACTCAATTGAAACTCTGCCCCTGCCACCATGTATTTAATCAGAAGTAGTAATGTCTGCAAAAGGAGGTATTAAAACAGCTAGTCGCTTTACAACTTTCCTTACTAGAAGTCTATTATTCCTATGAACTATAATAACTCCTTTGGCAAGGGCAGTCCATTTTGTTATTATATGCGTCCTTGGTGCAAGTTTTAAACACTGTAGCAGGTGGTGCCTCAAAGGATTTGGCTAGCAAAGCTGCCCAGATCCTGAAAGGTGCATCTCAGTTGCACAATCTTCCATTCCAATATCCAATTTGCACTATTCCACCATCTCTCTTTTGTTCCTGGCAAATAGACAGCGAAGACTTTTCCTAAAATCTGTGTTAAGATCTTATGGCTTCTGAAATAATGGCCTGGTTTATTCTGAACACCACCTTTAGGGTATGTCTAGACTACATGGCTCTGTTGACAGAGCCATGTAGATGAGTTGACTAGACATAGGAAAATGAAGCAGCGATTTAAATAATCGCCGCTTCATTTACATCAAAATGGCCACTGTGCGGTGCCAATCAGCTGTCTGGCGGCACAGCACGGTAGTCTGGACACGCCGTGGTTGACAAGGGAAGCCTTTGTCGACTGCTCCAGTAAATCTCTTTTCACGAGGCATAACGGAGCGGTCGACAAGGGCTTCTCTTGCCGACCGTGGCGCGTCCAGACTATCACGCTGTGCCGCCAAACAGCTAATCGGCACAGCGCAGCGCAGTGGCCATTTTGATGTAAATGAAGTCGACGGATCCATGTAGTCTAGACATACCCTTAGTGTTGGAAAAGATACTTTGTACATGTTGAACCTCTCTAATCTGGTACCCTCTGGTCCGGCAACATCCATGATCCAGCATGATTTTAGTTAGCTGGGTGTCCACTTATCATGGATGTGGCCAAGTTTCCTGTGATCTCATAAAGTTTGTTTACAGCCATCAGTCCTGGCTCTCAGTGTTCTGTGCTGTTCTTTAGCTCTTATTTACCCCTAAATGTCTTCTAAGAGCCCAGTAAGCAATGAAAGTGCTAGTAATGCTGCTAGACAATATTGGCCTCCTGTGGTTTGGTAAATTCTCTGGTTCGGTGCCAGTCAGGTCCTGAGGGTGTTGGACTAGAGAGATTCAACCTGGACAACTTCATGGAAGTGGCTCCCAATGTTCCTTCTCATTTGTTTTCCATATGTGGAACACATGAGGGCCTGAACTCAGGTTTAAAAATCAATCTCTTGCACTCCCTTTTTCTCTTTCTCTTTCTATATCTTTACCTTACCATTCCAGTTACCATTTCACTCATGCATCGCTTTCCTTTCTGCCTCATCATTCATTCTATATTCCACACATGGAAGTGGCTCCCAATGTTCCTTCTCATTTGTTTTCCATATGTGGAACACATGAGGGCCTGAACTCAGGTTTAAAAATCAATCTCTTGCACTCCCTTTTTCTCTTTCTCTTTCTATATCTTTACCTTACCATTCCAGTTACCATTTCACTCATGCATCGCTTTCCTTTCTGCCTCATCATTCATTCTATATTCCACACTCA